AATAACTGGAAAATTAGAGGTTTTAGAACCACTGGACGGTAGTGATCATAACATGGTTAAATTTGAGGTTAATTTTAGTGTCCAAAGAGCAAAGTCTAAATTAAAAGTATACAGTACAATGTTAGGAAGGCTAACTTTAATGGCATGAGACTGAAACTAGAAACTGTAAACTGAATGGGTTCAAATAACAAAACTATTGAAGAGGCATGAGAATTTTTTAAAAGCACATTATTGCAAGTGCAAAAGGACTTTATACCTGATTCCAGCAAAACTAAATCTAGGAAACTGCAACAAGGTGGTTTATTAGTGAAATTAAGAATAAAGTCAGTAGGAAAAGGGCTCTGTTCCACAAATGGAAAATAACTAATGATGTCGGAATAAAGCAAGAGTATCTAAGTCTACAGGTAAAGTTAAAAAATAATATTAGATTGGCTAAGAGGAGTGTTGAAAGGAAGATGGTATCGGAGGCTAAGGATGACCATTTTTCAAGTCCTCACAAAGATTTGTAAATGCCAAAAAAATGCCAAAGTCTTATATTTTATTTGGTTCCTTATGGTTAAGGTTAGGGCTGGGTAGGGGTTAAAGTTGTCATGTTGGGATTAGAGTTTTCCCTATAGAAATGAATGAAGTCCCCACAAAGATATAATTACAAACCTGTGTGCGTGTGTGTGTGTGTGTGTGTGTGAGCGCACCCAATGGACTCGCATTCTGAGGATAAACCCCTGCCCAGCATAGGCTCCACCCCCTCATGACCTTGTTCTAAACAAAAGAAAGATGGATGTATGGATGGTGGATGGATGGATGGAAGGATGGATGGATCAGCAAAACAGAAGAGCAATATGTACCTGTTCATGATATATATACTGTAGACAAGAGCAGTGTATCAGATCAGCCTGGGAGGGCCCCATCTACATCACTCCGGGATTCCCTTTCACATTAGTCACACCATCCAGGGAATCCCCACCATAGGTCTCCACTCAGTCAGGGAATCCATGTTCAGCTCTCCCCCTAGGTTCCCTGGTGCTTAATATTTTCGGCCATGCTTGTCGCCAGCAGTTGATCATTTTTTACTGACTATGTCCACTATTTCAGTTCCTATTTCTTGGTGTCGCACTGTATCAGTATTCTGCATAATTTATTATAGGGGAATTTAATTCAAGCTCAGCTTTTAAGGACTTTTTGGAAACATAAGGAGAGTGGTGTCTTAGCTGACACGACTCTTTAACATTGCATGGACTTTGGGGACAGTGCCTTTGGACTGGCAGACAGGGGTGGTGGTCCCAATCTTAAAGAAAGGGGACTGCACGATGTGTTTCAATTTTAACTTCCCTGGGAAGGTCTATGCAGGGGTACTGGAGAGTACTGGAGTTTGTCTGTTGGCCAAACTTTGGATTCAGGAGGAACAATGCACATTCTGTCCTGATCATGGAGTGCTGGACCATCTCTTTAATCTCATAAGGACACTGGAGTGAGAGTTTGGCTCTCATTGCCAGTAGTAAGCCAGACCTGTTCTGGGTGGGTGTGGTTTTCCGCCAGGGCGACCCGATTCTGTTCATAACTTTTATCGGTCCCGTGACTGATGCACTGTTGCTTTTTGCAGATGATGTGGTCCTGTTGGCTTCATGCTGTGACCTGCAGCAGCCACTGGCGCAGTTTGCAGCTGAGTGTGAGGCGGCTGGCATGAGGATCAGCATCTCCAAGCCTGAGGCCGTGGTTCTCAACCTAAAAAGGGTGGATTTCCCTGTCAAGGTGGGCGATGAGTTACTGCCACAAGCGGAGGAGTTTAAGTATAAAAGCGTGAGCATAAGTGTATCATGGAGTGCAAGATGAGGCAGGAGAAAAGAGAATTTCCCGATGGGGATCAATAACAAGCAGCAGAAATGAGCTCCATTGGCAAAGGGTCTGGGCTCAGCCTTAGAGACAGGGTGAGGAGCTCGGACATTTGGGAGGCCACTGCTCCTCCACATCTAAAGGAACCATTTGAGGTGGTTCAGACATCTATCTAGGATTATTGGTCCCCCATTCACAAAGGTAAAGGTTAGTGCCATTTAGCAGAATGCCTTATTGTCATTGTATAGGTAGCACGTATGAGCTCTTATATGTGAAAGCGAAACTTGTGCTTAGTGCGCAGGCTGAGACGTTTTTCCAGGCTTTCTGGGGTTAAACGCTTTGTTCAAAGGCCCAACAGAGCCACATTGTCCCTGTTTGGGTGAAAACCTGAGCAGGAAGAGCCCAGACAAACAAGGCACTGGGCGCTTTGGGCTCGCACTTTCTACTTCCTTTCATTGATATGCTAGAAAGTTCTGTGTCATAATCTTTATTTAATCTTTATTATTTATATAGCACCTTTCATACATAAAATGCAGCCCAAAGTGCTTTACAGTGCAAATATATATAAGGGGGGGGAGAGTAAATGAGTGTAAGAAGATGGTATAAAAGAATAAAATACAAAAATTAGAATAAATAATATGATCAAAATCAAGATCTAAACTTTGATAATAGTTATGCATAAAACAGAATTATATAAAAAGAATACAGGGACAAATACTAAATATTAGAAGTCAGGGTAAATAATACGTTTTTAAAAGCTTTTTAAAACAAGAAAGTGACTCAGCCTCTCTAACTGGTGCTGTGGCCGTAGTTTGGGTGCATAATGACTAAAAACTGTGTTGGGTCAGTGCAACATGTGGATGGTTGCAGCTGTGTGATTCTTTCCAAGCATTCCATGACAATCTCAAATAGAATCCAGCAAGAACGGGGCTCTGCTATCAGAGCTACATGGATCATAAGCTGGTACTATAGAGGCTCTAATATTGGTCATTTTAGTTTTAAAGAACAGTGGGAATCGCTCACATTTCTCAGCAGATGCCTCTTGTACCACAGGTTGTGAAGGGGGGAGGAGCCTATTTATAGTTTAAAATAGTACTCTAGTATTGTTTTTGTTGTTAGCAATCATTTTTGGAAAGTATGCCAGTCGTGCTTTATGTATGGCATGCTGGTAAATTGAAACACACTCCTTATAAATACGTAGATGTATTTCTAATCTAGTTTTTCTCCATTTACCTCTAGGTGTGGGGGGGGGGGCTTCAGTCCTTCTCTCTGACTGCAGGATTTGCATGTCCTTGTGTCAAATGGGCTCATTCCTGTGGTTAGGCCAGTCAGTGTCTCTAAACCCAACATAGTGTGTTAGTGTGAGTGCTTCCAATAAACTGGCATCCTGTCCAGGGAGTTTCCCTGCCTTTGCCTCCCGTGAGTCTGCAGGCTGTCCAGGGCAGGCTGAGCAATTGCAAGGTACATGAATGAAAACACAATTATAAAATCACTGGATTGTAATGTGACTGGACTGTGACCATAATGCTAATGGTGACTGCATGGTATGTTTATAAAATGCTGGAAACACTTACAGTGAACATAATTATGAATGTAGTCACTGAAAACTTACGAAACTTAAACCGTCTAATGTCAACCCTGTACGACTATAATTGTTTTGTTCTGACACTTTATTGATAATCTCCAGTTTTGACTGGCTTTGGGTTTTAAGGTATCTATCTAACAAGACAAAGTGCAGTATTGGTACTTGCATTGATTGCTAAGGGGGGAGATCATGGCTGGGAGGTAGTAAGTTTAGTAACTTGAATTCCAGTCGGAAGAGTGCTTTATCACTGTTGTAATTGTGAAGCTTGAGGGGATGCTACCATTACACTTTTCTGATAGGGGTGTTCGCCATTTGATGGGCAAAACCAAACTGTTAAGAGGATGATTGTGTTATAATGAAAATTCTAAGTTTTATTAATAAATTTAAATACAATTGTATTTTGGAATTGTACATTTTCAGGGTATATACAGAAATCCAGAGGTTAAATTTAACACTTTTTAATACCTTTTTTAATACTTTCTCAATGTTTTTTAAAACCCGCACGGCATTGAGTTGCAACCGTTTTTAAACAAGTTTCAAACTGATTTAAAGATTTATAATGTTACACAATTTTGGCCTGTACAACAGAATTTAAATAGGGAACATGGGTCAACAGAATAAATTTAGTGACCGTGATTTTGAAAACATCTTGCATTTAACTTCTTCAGTCACAAGTCCATATCTTTATCCACTAGGCTATTCATGGCAAGTGTCTTAATTGTTTGGCTTTTTCTTCAATGAGTTTGTCGATTTGCACCAGTTGACTAACTGCTCTCATCCAGGCATTCCTGATTTATGAGTTGTGCATCGCATATGCGACCAGAGAGCGCTAACCCCCATCCAGGTGATATTTACGTCGCTCGACCACCGAATATGACGTCAGCATCACAGAGATCATCTATGAATGAAGGAATGAGCCTAATCCACATTTAAAATAATTTGCGAGAAATTTAGCAGATAAACTTTAAAACACAAATGGACAATTTGTAGCTTTAAAAAAATCTAACATTTAATACCTCGTAAATTTGCGTGTAATACCTTTTAATACTTTTTAATGGCTTTAATTTTTGCTTATGTGATTTACTACCTTTTAATACTGATTTTAAAACTTAATAAGCAGTGTTTTGTATTATGCATGTTAATTGTTTGTTGGGTTAATTCCTTCATTGGAAGGGTTGAAGTCTATACAGACCATGGGGAGGTCTTTACCTGGGAGACACTGTCGTATCTGTGAATGCTTTTTCACTGCTGCAGGGTCCTTCAAGACAGCCTGCTGCGGTACAGTCACTCACACTGCAGGGATACCGCGCCACCTCTGCTTTTTTGGGGCCTGTCGTCTCAGCCACTTGTAGCATTACAAATTTCAATTGCAATTAAATTTTTTATATATTTTCAAAAATGCTTTTGCTTTTAGTCAAAGGTAAAACAACACAGCTTGAAAAGTGAAACGTGTTTTAATTAAATGGAAATAAGTTTTTCCTTCTATTATGGTTACCGCTCCTGCTGAAGGCTACCAGTGTAGTACTATCCATTGACTTTTCTGTATAAAACTTAATGTTTCTTAGAATAAAAAAGGTTCACATTATATCCATATAAATATCTTTATTTCATGTTCAGCTGATTGCATGAGTGGAGCCTATGCCAGGCTATGGTATATCCTTGACAGAATGCGAGTCCACAGTGCACACACACATACAGTACAGAGACACACAGAGTCCACATATTCATACACTTATGGGGACTCTCCATTCATTTCTGTGGTTATAACCATAATCCCAACCATGATAACATTAACGCTTACTCAGTCCTAAACTTATCAATAAGTAAACAAACAAAATACAAAACTTTTTTGACTGCAGTCAAAGATTTTTATAAAATTGAGGTTATCTTTGTGACCCCACAAGGTCAAAATAACAGGTTTTTATCACAATGTGGGGAAATTTGGTCCTCACAATGTAATAATTATAACACAGTCCAGGCCAGATCCAGGCCACAAGCACCTAAGACACACACACACACACACACACACACACACACAGACACACACAGCCGAATACAATCTAGCATCCAAAAATGATCAAAAATACAATTACTGCATACTGCAGGTCATCCTTTGCATTAAACAGAGTAATATTAACTGTAGCATTAAGTTCTGTTGTAAGAAATTATTTAGTCTATTACTCTCATATATTTTTAAATTTATTTAGCTGATCCAAATCCAAAAGTGACATACAATTTAGGAAGTAGTATAAGCTGGTCCCTGGAGTGATTGGGGGTCAGGGGCCCAACAGTGACATCACTCCACTGACCCTGGGATTTGAACCACCGACCACGGGCACAGCGGCCTACCCTGCTGTGCCACACATCGCCCCCTATACAGGCATACTGCTCTATAGCTGAGCACTAACTTACATGGTTTTCAATATTTCTGCCTGCATCAGCTAATGGATCTTTCCAAACAGATTTATAGTAACAAAGATTTGTTTTTATATAAAACACTGATTTGCAGAAAAGTCCACTCTGGGTAAGCAAAAGCAAACTGTCTACAGCCATGTGGTAGATCTTTCATTCACATGTGGGCCCAATCATTACACTACTATGTACCCACCAATGCTCTGGACAAGCTGACTTTTCTGTATGGGGCGAGGGGGTCGGGATTATTGGCTTATTGCAATCAGTCCTCTCGAAGGTAGGCTTCTGGCATATCCTCCCCGCTCTTCTCCATACTGGCCGCAAACTCAGCAACCCTCTGGATCTCCTCAGCCTTAGTCTCAGCCAGCTTCCGCTCCGCCACCAGTGACAGCTGCCGAACCTGCTCTACTTGTGACTGCGCCACCTGCAGGTTACTCTGGGTTGTTGCAGATGCCTCATTTGCCCCTGCGAACATAAGGTGTGATGAGCGACGGTGCTGTAAATCCAAGGGACTTTGGTTTTCGTGTTATATTAAAAATCATCAGCCATTTCCCACTAACAGACAGCTAAAACCTGCACAAAATGACAGACATACCTGCATTGTGTGCTGCCTGAGCAGCCAACTCGCACAGGCTGGTGGCATTCGCCCAATTCGCCTCATATCGCTTGCACTCCTCCAGCTTGTCACCCACCTGAGAGATGGAAAATAAATTAGAAAGGCACACATGTGATTTCAACATCAATCATTTTCAAACTTAGGATCAAAGCAGTTCATGGTGGGGTCACTAAAATACTTGCACTGTAAATGTAAATTTGAAATAAATATATGGCTCTGGGTAACACTTCACATTGACAACCGTTATAAAGGGTTTATGAATGGTTTATAATCAGGTTATTAATTAGGTTGTTAACACTTTGTAAATCATTAATAGACAACTGCAAACAATGTACACCATTTTTTATTATTATTTATAAGTAACTACCATTTATAAGTGGTAAAAGGGAGCCTATCTATAAAGTGGTACCTTACTTTGAACTGCAGAAGCAGAATTCGGCATTCAAAACTCCCCTAAATCCTGGTGCAGCCGGGCTGAATTAACTAACATTTTTATTTGCAGTACTTCTAACTGAGGATATAATGGGGGAAAGAATCCAGTTCAAACGGAATGGCACCTACCTCCACACGCTGGCCGATTATCACCTGCCAGACAGCATCCTCCTCGTCTGCGGTGAGCTTTCCAAGAGACGTCAGGTATCTTTTCTGCAGAGCGATCAGCGTGTGCAGAGCCTGTGGCCAAAACCCTGAGTTACCAAAGCAAGCAGTGCTTTGCGGCCTTGTTTGTAGGGCCAGAGGCAGCAGCGATGTGTGCATGTGCCAATGTGACCCCAAGGTTATTTGAAACTGGACATTTCCTGCCTTACAAAATACTTATCTTTAGTGTTAAATAGCAAAAACAAAAAAAAAAACAGATGCTAGAGGCAGACTTGGTCAGAGCACAATATTTATCCCTAATGCCTACAACAACACAGAATTTTACAAAGTAAAAGCCAGCGCCTGGGTCTTATTATAACACCTTTTTCAGAAGAATAATGCCTGAAAGCAGCTTCACAAAGTCTAGTCAACTTATACAGCACATTCTCAAAGAGAGGTCATTCAAAATGCATTATATAAAACTGGGTAACAGCAATAATTAAATGAACAATTAAAATGTACAAGTAAAAGGCAATTAAAATAATAATTAAAAACTACAAGTTAAAGAAAACCAAATTAACAGCGAAAGAAAAAGCATCAACATTAATTAGGAGCGCTAATCAATGGCACTGTGGAATAACAATGTTTTAAGCCTGGTTTTGAAGGTGGCAACAATTGGTGCATTTCTCTTCTACTTAGGGAGTCGGTTCAAGTTATGAATGGTGAAATAGCTGAATGCCATTTGACCTTGCTGACCTTTCACTCTGCACTATTAGTTGACCAGCTGCTAATTATCTTAGCGACCGGTTACGTTCATATTCAATCAGAATATCTGTGATGTAAACTGTATTTTTGGTAAATCCATATATGACAGCGTTACAATAATCCAATAATCTCCTGACTGGAGACAAGGTATATGATACATTTTTCAAGATCCTGCATTAGGCTTCTGATTTTAGAGATGTTCCTAAGGTGAGAAAAGGAAGATTTTTTTATAGCGCCTTAATATGGTCGTGAAACAAATCTTCATCAAGCAGGACGCCAAGATTTCTGACAAGCTCCTTTGTCTTCATGGCCTTAGACTCTAGGCACTAACCTTCAGTCACACCTTTCTCTTCTCAAAAACAATCACCTCAGTTTTCTCTTTGTTGTGCTAGAGCACATCGTGCAGCATCCAGCAATTAATTTGCTCAAGGAATTAACATAGGGAGTAGATGGGGCAAAAGACTTGGGTGACAGAGCAGGTAGATCTGTGTGTCATCCATGTATCTATGATAAGTCATATTGTGAATTTGCTGAATTTTACCTAAAGTAAGCATATAGAGGTTGAATAAAGGAACTCTAGGAGAGACCCTTGTGGGACTCCACAATTACTGGGTGGACACCTCAATTTACAACTGCTAATTTCAACATAACAACTGCTGCTCTCAAAGTATATCCTAAACCAGTTCAAGATTGTTCCAGTGAGGCCCACCCAAAGCGCAAGCCTATCCAAGGGTATTTTGTGATAGATTGTGTAAAATGTTGCACTTAGATCCAATAAAACCAGGACTGATACTTTGCCTGAATCAGTGTTTTGCGGGATGTTGGCTACTTACTCGGGTATACTGTGTGAGGGCATCCACAAGAGCCAGGGTGGTCTGCGACAGGTAGGTGTTGGCACTGTCTGTTACCAGAGATGATGCTCTGCGTATTATGGCTTCATGAGAGAGGTCTTCCACTTGCTGATGGGGAAAAACAGGGAGAAGACTCAGTGCACTCAGTTAAAATATGATGTGCAGAAGAAGAAAATTTTTGTTTTCTGGCTACTCCAAGAAGCTGAATGGCAATATAGTTCTCTAAGACTAACCATGCATTACTAAGTGAGCCTGTGGATGTCGTCTTTTGTTGTTACGTTGCTGTTCTGATACATAAGTTGTGATGTGACGTTTAAATTCAGATATTTAAGTTCAGTTTTGCCATACTGACAGACAACTGCATCTTCATTCATTTTTAATATGAAGAGCTCCTACACAACAGGCTTTTGCTTCCTTTGTATTTGAAATATAAATATATGTACAGCATTTGCAAAAGAGTGCAAAAAGGTATTGGTGCAAAAAACATATCAGAGGTGCCAATAGCTGAATAAAAGGCGACTTCCCGTATTTAATTCTGCTATTTCCATTTCTTTGATATATTGTCGCACCGTCTACTATTTTGCACTGTTCAACAAATCCTGTACATACATTTTAGGTTTCAAACGTTTTGTACATTGCGTTATAATAGGTATAAGAGGTGCTGTATAGACGAGTAAAGGGACCTTATAGAAAGGGAGCGCGCACAGTCCCCCGGAGACGCTTAGGGAAATGCAATCGGCTCGTGTCCACGCGGGGAGCTTCCGTCGCATGGCTCTCCTGCTGCTTAGTATGCATGCCGTGTTCCTAGATCCCCCCCCAAAAAAACAACTTTAAGTGCATTTTTCCCAAAATAGCGTTAAAGTTTCACCGACGTTTCAGTAACTGCATTGAAATTGCATGAAGATGTCATACACTTAAGAAAAAAGCAGCCAACAAATAACTACTCAACTTCAACGTTTCCGATGACTGAAATGGGTAAATGTGCATAAGCTGCATTATATGCAAGGATGCACATTACTTACTGGTACGCAATTACCCATTCGCCGTGACACAGTCAATGCGTAATTCAATTGAGGTATAAACGTTAAAATATATGGTAATATTTTGTCATAACAACGCAAATGAGTGTAAATTTTATGTGCATTTGAGCTGCTACGACAAGAAATTGCCTCGCGTATCGCTTTATAGGAAGAATGCGTACTTGTGCACCAGTTCTGTGCATCCCCGAATAATATGGTAGTAGCGATGCATATTGTTCAATGTTCAGTTAACCACTGCAGTTATCACTTTTACAGATAAATTACTATGGATGGAGTGACACATTACATTTACATAGATTTTGGTTTTTACTGATTTTGAAAGATCCGCTACATACCTTAATAAACCAACAGAGGAGAACCCTCGCGCAAATACCGCCATGTTGCTCCGAAGCTGTAGGAAGTCGGTCCGACTACATAGTAGTCCCTCCGTTGAACACAACGCACAGTTTCGAAGAGCCTGCATTTTCTCCGTTAAATTGGTAAATACTTACCAGTATTTAAAAATAACCTATACTGCTGAACAAACCTAAATAGCTACGAACTGAAAAGGAACAATTTTTGTTTGTTTTTGATGCAAGTTTGTTGTTGTTGCGGCGAAATGTCGACACCTGGCGGAAGATTGTATAAAGCAGCTCTCTTTCTTCTCTCTCAATGTTTGTAATGTACTGTATGAGAGTGACCCTGAAGTATTTATGCGAGCTTCACCATGACTCCACTGACCGCTCCATCGATCTGTTTACCTGCTTGTCAAAACAACGTGTTCTGTTTAAACATGAACTACGTGCTATGGCTTATCCTCACATGCACAGGGTACACACTTTCACAGACAGGACCAGCATCAACAATGTTAATATGTAGCCTAATCACTCTATGGACTTTAGTTCTCATGCCTATACTGTTTCAGTGTTCCGTCTTTAATCACAGCATTTGTAAAAAATTAATTATTCCATACAATTATTACATACCGAGTTAACAATTAGTGATAGTAATAGGCCACTATATAGCGAGACTGATCATTCTTGTTATGTTCATACTGCCTATAGTGTGTGTGTGTGTGTGTCTGTGTCTGTGTGGTCATGAATATATTACATTTCCATTAAATGTGACAAAAAAACCTATTATTTTGAGCTTGTGGGGACATTTTTTCAGTCTCCTGGGAAACTCAATTTTATAAAAGTCTGACTGCAATCAAAAAACTGATAATGTATGTATTTTGTTTTGCTACTTATGATTATAATTAGGGCTGACTAAAGGTTAAGGTTGTCATTGGGATTATTAATGGACGGTCCCCAGAGAGATGAATACAAATGTGTGTGTGTGTGTGTGTGTGTGTGGAGGGGGGAGGTTGCATAGATCACATTTGAGGACCAAATTGTCACCAAAGTGTAGTAAAACCTGAAATTTCCCCACTTTCGTGGCATCTTTTGAGGTCCCCATTTGGATAACCTCAGCTTTATTAAAATCTGTGAATGCAATCAAAAAGTAAAAATGCCAAAAGTCTTCTATTTGGGTTGGTTACTTATGTTTAAGGTTAGGGATGGGTAGGGGTTAAGGGTGTCATGATTGAAATTAGGGTTTTTCCCATAGAAATGAATGGACGGTCCCCAATTAGATAGGTAGGCCAGCGTGTGTGTGTGTGTGTGTGTGTGTGTGTGTGTGCGTGCATGTTTGTGTGAGGGTCAGATATACATTACATTGTGGAACGCAAATGTCCCCACAATGTGATAAAAACCTGTTATTTGACATTTTGACCTTTATTTGGTCCCCACAAGGAGAAATTAAATTTTATAAAAATCTATAACTGCAATCAGAAGACTAAAAATGCCAAAGACTTGTATTTCATTTGGTTACTTATGGTTAAGGCTAGTATGTGTGTGTCTGTGGCATGTGTGTGGGTTTGCATACATGATATTTGGGGACCCCTAAAGTGTGGTAAATCCTGAAACTTCCTTACTTTTGGGGACATTTTTCAGGTCCCCATTTGGATAACCTCAGTTTTATAAAAATCTGTGAATGCAATCAAAAAAGTAAGGACAAAGTATTTTGTTTGCCTATTTATGGTTAAGGATAGGGCTGGGTAGGGGTTAAGGGTGTCGTGATTGGAATTAGGATTTTTCCCATAGAAACGAATGAAAGGTCCCCATTTAGATAAATACACCAACATGTGTGTGTGTGTGTGTGTGTGTGCCTTACAAGGAAGTAGTATTCCATCCACTGTACCCTATGCTGCATGTGATGGCCTCTGTAACCCCCCCACCCCCACCCCATGACCCTAACCAAGTAAGTGGTTGGAAACTGGATGGATGCATAGCTAGTTTTAGAGGCCAGGTGCCATGAGTACTCTTGCTGATTTAACTTCTACTCCACCACAAGATGGTGGACTTTACCCAACAGAAGGAACAAAAAGATGCTGGAAGAGAAATAGGCTCTAAATGTACCATTAACACAAGGACTAGGAAAAAATAATAGTATATAATGAGAGTGTTTTTTGTATTATACTATGAACTACTTCTAATTTGTAATCACTAACATGATAGTCAGAGGTAAGAATTTAGTATAAATATGTACTGTCATCTAAAACTCAGCAATGCAGACTACACCGAAAAATGTAAAATGTCAGTTGTTATAGTTAATGTAAATGTATTGTCATGTAATACCAAAGAGTAACATATATACATGTATGAAATTTAATATTCATTTTTATATAAATTGCCACATATTTATGAACGTCACAGCCTTTGCTAGTAAGTAGCCAGTGAGCAGGT